AGAAGCACTCACTCTTCGCTCAGTTACCCCAGTAGAAAAACAAATGAGACTGCTCATATATCAGGGCAGAGCTTTGAATGTTCAGAGTTCCCCTTAACCCATATCGAATAGCATTTGTGAAAAGAAAATATTGAAAAACCATACATTTTGGACAATATCATGTGTGAAAACTTGGGTCGTGGGGAATTAAAGCTACCTTATTCTTAGCCTCAATTGAATTTGAAACAATTTTTTCTGAGGGATAATTAGTCATGCATGAATAATTCGAACTACGTTTTCAGCAGCATTAATAAAATCATCAAAGCGCACAACAGTGAATCCAGAGCATAGCCGAAATGGCAATTTTTCAACGCCCAAAACTTTGCAAAAAATAATCGGTATTTTTTTTTGAAATTTGGTTTCAAGTAAATAATGTAATCTCATCATTGTGGTAAACAAAATTGTTAAAAACTATTATTTTGATCGCCGAAAATTTACTGATTAAAAAACCACCCACAACCCACAATCATAACTATTCCGTTTTTTTTCGAAAGTCGGAACAAAATGTATTAGATAATTTTTTAATCGAAGCAGTAGCAATCTTACCAGCTGATATAAAACGGTCACTATCAAAAACAACAAAGAACTAACATAAAACCACCCAAAGAAAAATATTCTGCATTTCTTCAGAAATCGGAACAAAAATTGTTTTCACCAAAATAGTTAAAATGTTAAGAGTAGCTAAAATATGATGTAAATTAGTTCAAAATAGTTTCATTTTATAGCCTTTTTGCCCCCTCCTCAAACAAAAGGCTGAATATGTACAACAAAATATGAAGTTTTTTTTTTTTGTTTTTCAAAAACTTTCATTGCAAAAATTAACACTGCCGGACATTTCTGTGCTCAGCTATAGGTGACTTGTGTTGTTTAGAGTCTTGTCTTGTTGATCATTACTCTGGTGGAGACTTCTGTCTTCCACGAAGACCACGCCAACAAAAACTCAGACGACACTGTGGTATATTATATCACCAATTGATATATTCATCAATTTGAAAATTTTGCTCAATTCTTAAGAAACTTTTCTCAAAAGTAAAAAAAAAATTATCAAAAAAGATCGAGTTTTTGTAACTTTGAAATCTTTTTTTTTGGAAGTCACAACTCAACAAACTGGCCGAACGGAAATTTTACGTAATATAGTGATTTGACTCTGTAAATTGCTCTTCGAAGTTATCCAATTTTTGTTTTTTCAAGTTTTTCTAAGTACCAATGTTCCGACAAGGTTTCTAAGTGTTTGAATAATTGATGTTTGCCTAGACGAAGGTGCTGATGATGCTGTTCCAGGGACTCAATTTAATATTTATTGTGATCACTTCAGGTAGGGACTGAGCCTTTAAATCAATTTGGAAATAATGCATCTTCCTGTTGATATTAAAGTTTTGACACTTTCTTCAAACCGTAAAGAAAATATTAGATAAATTTTTCTCAAGATTTGTTTTTGTTAAACTTCAGTTTTTTGGTAAGCAAATGACTCGAACAACATTTTAGTGTTTCCGCGCTAGCCTTTGATACTAAAATATTTTCCTCCTTTGCTCTTGTAGACCTCTGGTTCGCAAAGTGAGATCATCTTTTAAGAAAATTGTATGCGAACTAACGACGCCATCTAAACATAATTGGTCTTCATATCGTACCCTGTAATCCCACTCAGTAGTTAGTCCTTGAATTTTTCTTTTTTTTTGGTGTATTAGTTGTCAGAAGGGCTTAAATAGAGGCAAAAAAACGTCTTAGAGGTTTTGTTCTGGTTAAGTTCCTGAGTTTGTTTTAGTGAAGTTGTACAAGCAGTTCATGCATCACACAGCCACCGGACTGTTCCTTCTTCAGTCCTATATGGCCACCACCCTCCTCTTTGCAGGTGTCTACACCACTCTCGAGATGATGACAGCACCTGTAAGTGCACCTGTACCCCAATATGTAGCCCCACCATTTTTATAAATTGGGCGGGGGCTATATTTTACTGGAAAGGGGGGGGGGGGGGGTGAAGCGAAACAAGCCTTAAAACTTTCTAGACCCGTGAATTTCCAGTTTTCTCGAAATTCAAAATTTTGGCAAAATATCTAACACAAAATCTTTGCTAGCAAATACCTTTTTTTTGCTTTTTTGTTGCAGGATTTTTGCAAGATTTACTTTCATTTTGAAAGTTTCTTGCGAGATTTGCTTTCATTTTGCAACCCGTACCCAGCATAGGTTCGTTTTCTAGATAGAAATGTTTAATAGATTATCTCCCCAAGTTTTCTCGATTTTTCTGTACAGAAATTTATTATTCCTTATCTTAGGTTAGAAATAAACCATTTCTTTTTTTTTTAAATTGTACATTAATTTTTTTAGTTGAGAGTTTCATAATCAATATGTACATCAAATAACATCATATTCATCGGAATTAACTCAACGAGTTAGTAACCTAATTGTTGCCACAAGAAACACCTTCTAAATTGTTGAGAGCTCGTCTAGATAGTTTCTGAACTGTTTTTGTACTTTTTTTTATTCAAACGGATACTGGGTGTCCTGATCGGCAAACTGTTTTTTGTTCTTTCTGTGACTTGTGCTTAAAATACATTTTTTAGTACCGGATACAGAGTAGCCTGGTACGCTTGAAATGTCTACCTTCTACTTCTTAGCAGTTTTTGTTCAATTGACATTACTTTTACCGGATACCGGGTATCCTGGTTTGTTGCTGAAGTCTAACCTATCTTTGTAGTTTTTATCAGAAGGAGCTATTTGAATTTCTTATCTTCCATACTTCCCATGACACAAATGTTTGCAAGTTGATTATCCATGACGTCGATGTTTCTGAATATGCACCACAAATAACCGCAACAACATACTCAAGCCTTGCAATGTTGGTTGATACAAAAACGTCACGCCATTTATTAATCTGTAATATGTTTCTTGAGGGTTGTAACGAAGGACAACTGAAAATTAGGTGTTCGAATGTTTCGCATTCTAAATTACAATTGAAACATTCCAGGGCATTCTCAAGAAATAAAAACCACCGCTTTTCTCGATCTTTAAAAACAGCGTACGCAAATTAATAAAGAAAGTTTTTTCCCATTAATCAAGCATTGAATTTTTCCAAACTTTGCCTGTAATTTGAATCAATTCTTCTTCTGAACAGAGTTAACGGTTTGCAGCAAAACAAATGCGAAAAAATTGCAGCTCGATGAAAACTACAGTTTTGTATGCAGAAATAATAAACATCTCGCGATTTTGTCCGAATTATTATAATTAAACGGCTATTGGTAACGTTTGAAATTATTGCAATATCACTCGAATTTATTTCATCAGAGATGTTCGTATTTCTCAACAAATTTTTGATTTTTCTCGGGAAAATAAAATCTGTTGGTAACAAACTATTTTGATCTGATATATCAGAAGCAAAGAAATTGATAATTTCCAGACTGAAAAGTTTGAGTTGTAGGAATGGTAAGCCTTACCGCAATATCTAAGATGGGGTGATATTAAACTTCTTTCCTTATGTCGAGTCTGCTTGATTTTTTCAATTCTGCATTTAATGATTCTTGGCATTTACTAATAGTATCCAAGTTAACTGTAGTATGACGAGCCAAATGAAAAAAATTTAGGGAGAACATAAACTGACAGTGGTAATGAATTGACCCTTAAGATTTACTTTGTGAAATTAACCCTCGATGTTTTTGAAATTAAGAACTCGATAATAGTTCATTATTTTCAACTTTTTGTGAAGTGTAAAACAAGACACCAAGTATTTTTGTTTCCTTGACTGTTTTATAGGGTGATAAATCAGGTATAGAAATCAAATCACTTTTACTTATGTTAATCATCATTTGAGTTTGTTTGCAAAATGCATCGATTAAGCGAAACAACCTGTCAATACATCGGATTTTGATAAGGCAAGTTATGTCGTCTGCATATAAAACTAGTTTGGGGCACAATAACCCGAAACCTTCAATTGCTTCTGTAGATTCGATTGCTTGAATTGAAGAAGGGTTTCGATAAAAGCCATGAAAAAAAAATGCGGAAAGAGGGCAACCTTGTCTCACACCGCGATGAATTTTGAAGCTGGGTGATAAAAAAACCATGTACCTCAATTACTGCTTTTGAGTCTAAATACAAAGTTTCAATAGCTCTAACTGAAAACTCATCAAGGTTTAACCCTTACAAAACTTTGATGAGAAGTGATCTGTCATCTCTGTCAAATGCTTTAGAAAAGTCTAATTTTACAGCACATAAACCTCGATTAGCCAATCGTTGTTGAGTAATCGCTTTTTTTTAACTTTCGTATTGCTGTGTGCATTTGTCTTTCAGATAAATACGCGTGCTGATGGTTTTTTACAACTTTACAAAGGTCTTTTTTAATTCTATTACAGACTCTACGGGCAAAAATTTTCGCGTCAGTATTTATGAGACTGATGGGGCTAAAATCTGGTACTGCTATGGCATTTTCAGATTTCGGGAGCAGTTTGATTATTGCTAAATAAAAACTGTTTGGGAGTTTTCCACCATGAACAAAATGATAGAAAACTTTAGCTAATTTGAACAAAACTCATCCGTGAAAGTCTTATATAGCCGAGATGTAAGGCCGTCTGGTCCAGGCGAGCTTTTCAAATTCAATTTGTTTATAGCCAAGTGAATTTCATCTTCTGTAAAGTAATTATGGCCATCATTCTCATGATTTTTGAGTTTATATTTTGATAAAAACGTCAATAGTAGTTGATCGGAGTCTGTTGTAGAACTGTTTGAAAATATATTTGAAAATTACTTTTGAAATTGATGAAGAATGTCCTCATCCGTATGATAAATTTCATTCGTCTGATCCACTTGAATTCGCTTGGTTGAGTTAATTGTGTTCTTTGAGGTCCATTGACTACAAAATTTGGGCACACCCTCAAAAGTATAGCTGAGAATTTTCTGAATTTTTAGACATTCTGAAAAATCTTTTTCCTTGGAAACTTTTTGAAGATGTTCCAGCATGAAATCATTTTTTTCAATCAAACTCGCGTGTCCGGACCTTTTCCGCTGTGAATGCAATCTCTGAGAACATTTTTGTGATACTTCAATATATTAAGTTCTTTCTGATCTACACGCTTTTTGTTCTGTTGAATAAACTTCAGAAGGTCACGAAAATTATGCTTAAAGTTTTCGTAACTACTTGGTGATTCATTTTCAGAAAAGTTTTTTAGATCTTCACTAATTAAGCTGGCGTTGTTTTTTAAAATTTTTTCTTTTAATTTCCAGTAACTAGGGCCGCGCTGATACAAGTTAGATGGCTTAACAAAAACGTGTAGGAGCAATGATCAGAAATTGATATTTGAGTGCTTTGCATAGAGTCATACTCTGTTTCGAAATTCAAAAAAGCATAATCTATGCGCGTAAAAGTTTTTTTTATTGTTTGTCATAATGTGTATAATCACAAAAATCATTCTTGAGGACGAAATCAACAAAACCAAAACAATCAAGAATTTGTTCTTTGAGTTGGGTAAATCGTTTGCTGCTACGTGCATCATTTAACTTAAGCATTGAAGAACTGTTAATATTGTCATAACTCAGCGCATTAAAATCACCCGTCATGATTATTTTCGATTTATAAGGTAAAAATCTGATGCTTAATTTCAGGGAATTCAAAGTTGCTTGGAAGGAATTTGGGTTCGCATAAACGTTGATAGCAAACCAATCAAGTTTGACAAATTTTAACAATTGAAAACCTGTACTTGAAGCAATTTTTTTGTAGGACTCAAGTTTGATGACCATAACGTTAAGAAACCACGAGAATTATTTGAGCCTGGTATGAAATACTATTCTGAAAAACTAAAAAAAATCGATGTTTTTGAACAAATTTTCGAAAGTTCACTTCAAGTTTTGTCAGGTGTCTTGTTTTTAGAGAAGTGTTTTTTTTTTCAGAATAAAAATAATTTGTAAGTGCGGACTGTAGTATTTGTAGTAGTTTTGCATGGTAATACACATTTGTCGTCTAAATGTCTTGTCGCCTTAATATCTTGTCGCTTTATTTGAGAAGTATATTTTGTCTAATTCAACGGATCTTGTCAACAACCCCCACCCCCTTTGTTTGTTGAACAGCTTGTATGTTAGTCCTTTAATTTGTGGATTAATGGTTAATTGGACTTAGTTTAAGTTATAAATGCTATAACTTATAAATGTATGGCTTAGTTAAAAAAAATAAGTGATTTTAGTTATAAGTTTAAATAACGGTGACAGGGTGAATGACCTAGAAACCGTAAGTGGCGCCTTGTTTGGGTCAGTCGAGAGTTAAAACCTCTTGCTGGTATAAATTCAAGCTAAATGGCATCTTTGATTTTGATTAAAATTCTCTCGAAGAAAGAATTAAATGAGTGTTATGAAAATAAGAATAGCGTGTCAGCCGGACTGTATTTGATGAGTTCTTGCTTACTGGTATTTGATTGAAGAAGCCCTCCAAGTTAGATTTAATTCTATTCTTCAAACAACATCTTACAAGAAATTTATCTCATACTTTGGTTATCTCAAAAACATAAGTTAGAAACCCTCATTTTGATCCAACTTAAGAAATTGAAAGAACAAAGAACATCACCTATACCTATTCTTCAGTAAATCATGTCGGGTATGGTTCTAGGCAGTTTTTCAGTTATGAGCTCAGCTAATACACTGAAAACAACAAAAACAAACAACTGCTGAAAACAACAAAAACAAACAAGTCAAGATTTGCTTTAATTTGCGAGGCTCACGCAAGATTTGCATTGCATACGCAACAAGAAATCAGCAAGGTTTTGCATTCTTCTAGCTGTATTCTTGCAAGATTTGCATTCCATTTCAATATTCTTGCATAACTTCCATTCCATACGCAAAAAAGCAAGTTTCTCATTTCATTTGCTGGCAAAAAAAACGAAACTTTGCATTCGTTTTGCAAGATTTTTCAGCTGTTTTCCTTATTTATGAGCAGGCCAAAGACGATATCCGTGCATTCACCGGGTTCCACGGCATCGACTCCTACTCGAACTCGAGTGAACTGTGGACTGCCGACGTCTTCCTCCAACTCACATTCTACTCCATTTCAAGTGCCACCCTCTGCGGATCCTCTGGAGTTCATCCTGTCCAATGGTACTCATACCTCGTGTCCAGTATTGAGGTCAGTTACGTAATAGTTATATAACTTTCACAGCAAATTTTACGTAACATTTTAAGATGAATTATTTCATAACGCAGGAATCTTTTGTACTTAACGCCATCCACCTCAGGGGGATTCGACCCAAAGCTCCCCCCCCCCCCACCTTTGTACTACTTTGGGATATCAATTTTTGTCTGACTGAACCTAAAACTTTTCTAAAGGCGCCTTGGGTGCCAATATATATTAATTTTAAAAGGGAGCGCGCGTCTAAAAAGCGTTTTTGGTCAACAATTTCTAAACAGTGCCCAAGAACGCCTTTTTTGCTGATCTAGGCCTTCGATAACTTTTTGTCTTTTTTTTGTACGTCGACCAAACTGATTTTCCCTGCTCTCCCAGGAAACTCAAAAAACTGTTTCGACACTTTTTCGCCAACGTTTGCGCGCCATAGGCAAACAATTCAAAAAATAGGCGAAGATGGAGTTGTGGACTTTTTTGGTAAACTTACATCAAAAATATGTTTTTTTTTGCGCTTGCTTTCTTGAATTAAAAATAAAGAAGGATGGAGTAATGAGTCATGAGTAAGATTATCCGTCGTTTAAGTGAAGTGATCCTTAAAAATGCTAACAGAAGCAGAACTTGAAGTTTTAATTTTAACTGTTAAAAGGTCTAAATCAGGTTCTAATGTCATGCTTAACTAATTTTTTTTTAAACTTAGATACTGATGAGTTTTCTGTATTTCTCCGCCATTATGGGCCAGTTTCTTCACAACCGACAAGAAGACATGCTCTCTTATGACCCAATAAGTAACTTCCAAGTTGCCGAAACCATCAAACACGAGATCCGAAAACACAGCCAATCCAGCAAAGAAATCCGAAACCCGGTCGGACTTAACAACGAGATCCTCTCGGAGTCTCAAACCGAAGAAGCGAATGACGTCTTGACATCGTTAGATCTTTCAAACAGAAGAACAAACAGTCGTCAAACGGCAACGCATGCGCCGAGAAACAGTATATCAAACTCGACCAGTCCGAACTCAAACAGTCGGCAAAAACCGACTCGAGTCGGCAATTTCCGAAGACACTCGGAAAACGCGCTCTTGTCCATCAACGGCGGAGACTGGTCCGGACAGTTTCTCACCGGAAATTCGATAAATCAAAGCGCTCATTTAGACGGTATTATATATTTTTTTTTTTTTTCAAAAACTATTTTAAAAAAGTTTCACTAGGTCGAAGTTGAATTTCAGATTTTTGATTCACTGGAAATGGATAAAACGTTGTTTATAAAAAAGTTAAGCGAGCAAAAAAAATGAGCAAAAACTGATATGTTTAGCAAAACTGCATGTAAATATGTTGTATTATCAGTTTATAATAACTGGCGTCTTTTCTAAGAAACTTTTTTAAAAAAAAACAAACTGCCCAAAAAAATTACATTGAAAAAATGTAGGTTTTTACTCAAAAATTATACCGGGCGCGAAGTTTTCTTTGATTTGAGTCACAACACTTTATCCGATTAAAAATCCCAAAATAGAAAAATTTAAAAAAAAACTCATGATTTTTAAACTGAACGAAATTTTTTTTGGAAAAAGTAATTTTTACTAGCAACTATTTTTTTCCGCGATATCACCTTTCTTTTTTTTCTTTCAGATAAATTGAGAGCAATCAGAATTCAAGTTTCTTCTTTGATTGGTATGCTCAAAGAAGACTAGAGCAAGGGAAAAAATCAATGCCGCCGAGTTTCGAAGAACAATTTATAAATGCTGATGTTTATCAAATTAGCTTTAGTGGTAAATTATCTCATGAAGACTGATATATGTTGTGAGAAATAGTAGTGTAGTCAAACTGTTTTCATGAGCTAAACAACAGTGTTGGTTTCAAGGCCGGTTGTAGATCCAATGTTTTTTTTTGGAGAAATGTTTCTTTTTTAAAATATTGTTTAATAACTGATGATATTTCATTAGGAATTGATTATTGATCAAATTGAGGTTTCATATTTTACGAAAACGCTATGATGCGACCCCCTGTATTCATCAATTAGAATTTTTTTTAAGTATAAAACAAAAAACTAGCAACTGAATTGACTTTTCGAACCATTCTTACCCGAGTCGAGATTTTTCACCTAAATTGAAGCAAGATATGAGCAGTTTGAGCGGTTTTTTCAGACAACTGCGCTCGAAATCTTTCTTCGTAATGAGCGGTTTGAGCGGTTTCTCAAAAAAAAAACGCTCAAAAACCGCACAATATTTGAACGTTTTTTTTATAGATAATCGCTCTCAAAAACCGTTCAAATCTTGCGCGTTTTTTTTTTTGATAAACCGCTCAAGATTTTTGACTAAATCTCGACTATTTTTTCGACCGCCGCGACTAACTTTTCGACCGCCGCTACTAATTTTTTGACCGCCGCGAATAATTTTTTGACCAGGCTGCGACTCATTTTTCGACCGCCGCGACTTAGTTATCGACTATGCTGCGACTAATTTGTCGCCCGCCGCGACTAAGTTTTTGACCGCCGCGACTTATTTTTTGACTATGCCGCGACTAATTTGTCGACCGCCGCGACTAATTTTTTGACCAGGCCGCGACTAATTTTTCGACTGTCGCGACCAATTTTTCGACCGCTGCGACTAACTTTCTTTCGGTCGCGCCGGTCGCAGTTAACTTTCTTTTGGTCGAGCTGGTCGCGGTTAACTTTCCTTCGGTCCCGCCGAACGCGGACACATTACCTCGGTCCGCAAAAAGGGGAAATCACAAATTTTGGTCGCGACTGTCTGATCATAAAACCACAGCCTCGACCCGGGTAGTGTAACATTGCCTTTTCCAGGCCTTTTGATGGTTTACTCGCTTTTTTTTATTAAACCGCTCAAAAACCGCTCAAATCTTGCGTGAAAAACCGTTCAAAAACCACCGCAAGGAATGAGCTGCTTTTGAGTGGTTCTTTAAAGCAAGATTTGAGCTGTTTGAGCAGTTTTTTGACAAAAAAATTGCCCAAACCGCTCAAATCCTGCTGGAAAATTGCTCAAACCGAAAAAATTTGAGCAAAATTTGAGCGGGATTTCGATCCGTTTAACGAGCATCAACCAAATCAAAAAGTTTAACGTAATATCAAAGCACTGTTTACGATGTTCGTCGAGAATCATAGAGCCCCAATCAGGGAGTTTGCGTCTTGAGTCTAACACCTTTTCAATCTCGATCTTGAAAAAATGAAAGGCGGATATTTCCCTCGTCTTACTTGTTTTTCAAAAAAAAATTTAATCTATAGTTTGCGATAGTTTTATTTTGTATTTTGACCTTAGTTTCTCTCTTTACACAATTTTATAAGTTTCGATGCTATCTGGTCAAATAAGAAAAAATCCCAAGTTTTACAAACTCAAAAAATTTTCCTTATTTTTGTTTTCATGTAAATTAGTCCCGAAATCTAAAATCTGAAAATTTTCCCCAATTTTTCGCATCTGTTAACCTTTTCTTAATTTTTTTCTCGATATAGCAAGCGTTACAGTGAGATAGTTTGTAACTTCTCAAATAAGTGTTTAATAATTTTTTTAATCGTTAAAATGAATGCCAGAAATTGAGTATGGCATGACCCAAATTTCCGTATTTTTCACGAAAGCATGGAGACTACTCAATTCAATAGCTACAGCTAGAGTGTTGTTAAACTTTTTTTTGTGGATAGCTGGTGTTAAGAAGTGAAAATAGACAGGGTAAGAAAATTCTAAATGGCTTACGTAAGGGTTGGAATTAAACTAAAACTAGTTTAAGACTCGGTAAAACGATGGGTTCTCTTCTAAAAACTTAGTAAAGTTTTAAGCTAAGACTAGACTAAAAGACGGAAGGTTAAAAGGTATCTTGGCTAGTTAAAAGTTAATGTCGGTTGAAAAGTTGAATTGAAATTGGTTGCATAACACATTACACTGAACAAAGATCAGATGTCCTAAAGCCGATGTGCTTTTGGCAGGTACTCTTTAATTCAAAACTAGAACATAAGCAGCAATAGATGTTAAAAGATCAGCTTTGACATTCTCCTGGAAAAGTTATTGGAAGGCACCGATGTTTAATATGATATACCTTTAACTTTCATCCGAGGAAGGCGGCCGATGGGCACAAGATAGCTCTAACAACAAAAACAAAGTTCATCTACGTGGAGGTTAACTGAACCAAAATATTTGACAAACTAACAAAAAGAGTTGAAGTAAATTACAAAATAAAGAAGCAATGCACTCATTTTTTTAAGTAAAACGAGTTAAGTCAAAAAATTAAATCATCGAAGCATAATTCCAGGTGCTGAATATCGTTTGCAACGAAACGTAAAATTAAGTTTTTACGGAAGTTATATGAATCTTTTGCGGAATGTAGAATTTTTGTTTTAATAGTTTCAGTAGGCAACTCGCTTCAATGCTCTCAATGCTGTCCATTTTTTGAGGTCTTCTAGTGTCATTGGAGACTTTAGCCTTGATAAAAGAGGTTGTCTTCAGCCGATCGGGAGTATCAGCAATGGGTGTGTCAACAACGGTTAGCGGTTCAATGGGTGTGTCCGACGGATCGTATTCACTTTGACCAGAAGAAGTTGATTTGACCTAGAAAGCATTTTCGATCAAATTTCCCTTGTTTGGAAGTCGAGGAGGGGGAATTTGATTGAAAATGCTTTCTAGGTCAAATCAACTTCTTCTCGAAATGTCGGGGGTCGAACGCCTTAGTGGGGATGAATTCGGGGTGGTGAGATCCACAACAGTTACTGACGGGTTTTCTATTTCGATAGTTATAGCTTCTAGCGATGATGTGGAAGGGATTTTTATACAAGTAGAAGAGTGTTCACCCGGCCTAACATCGGAATGTTCTACAAGGCTCGTGAAGATTCGTTCTCCCAGCAGTAATGGTGGCTTTATGGACCGGATGTGTCTGATGTTGTGTCTGACGTGATGATCCGATAGCTTTCATGGAGGCGTTGACTTCATGGGCGAGGACGCTTTCCTCTTGACCATCCGGGTGGGTTTTGGTCTTGAGGAGCCTCGAATCGGCATTGGATTGGTTCTCTGGTTCTCGGAATCCATTCTATTGGGGTTTTCAGGCACGCTCCTTTTCGGATTTGAAATCAAGTTTTGCGGTTGGGTCGCCTCATTTTGGTTGCTAAATTCTTGTTGTCTGTCGTCCGTTTCCTCTTGACTGTCCGGATGAATGATGGGTGGTATGATGGATTGTTCCGAGTTTGCGGTCGGCATTTTTGGTTGGACTAAAGCTTGCGGTGGGACCTGATCATTGACCGGTTCTGGGTCTTCCTTTTGTGGGACTTCTATTTTGATATCCGCTGAAAGTTGGGCTGCGGAAACTTGTACATTTTTGAGGTTTATTCGGGTAAATGGCTTAAGGTTTTTTAAGAGGATCAAACGGCTAGCTTCGTCGTCAGATATAGTCTCCATAGACATATTTGGAGGTGCCGTTTCCATTTTTTCCGATGTTTGACTTTGGCTGGGTTGTCGCGACGGGATATGTTCTAAGTCGCGTTCTGTGCCGATAGGACATCTCCCTCTCCTTTTCTTCCTCTCGCAGGAGGATTTCTCTCGAGCTGTTCATGATCGCATTACGTCTAGCAACATCTAAATCTTCATTTTGAGTTGCTTTCAAACGTTTGACTACAACATTTCTGGCTCGCTTAATCACACTCCTTGGCCCTTTTGTAGCGTATAACTTCACCAATAATTCTTCTTTCTGGGGCTCACCTTCTTTTTTCTGTTAATCTTTTCACTGCTAAATCAGATTTACGAATTATTTTACCCTTCATAAGGGTTACAGTATGGTCCGATTACCTCACTACTTCTTCTTTATTTATAGTACGGTAAGTTATTTTTAGTACGGTTCATACTTTTTTCTATCTTGAACTTTTCGATATATCTTACACGTTGGGATATTCAGTACGGGATTGGCTACCCCTTGGGCTTTTTATTTCTCTGTGCGTGAGAGAACTTTTAATGGGAAAGCCGAACTCGTTGGAACTTATTTGGTGGCACTTTCGACATCGCCTCAAGGAACATATAGGAGTCGTCGTCTATGTATCCATCCTCTAAATCGTCCAGAGTTTCTCAGTCGTGTCGTCTGTCCCAGCAATTGAAATTTCCTCCTTTATCTATACATAATAGAAGTATATTCCAATCCAAGTTTTTTTGAAGATGAAAATTTCACAAGATTATGCCAAATTGCCTAATTTTTCCTCCATACAAGGTCTTTTCTTCTGAGTAAAGCCAAGGTCTTTTTTTCTGAGTAAAGCCATGAGTATCGAATCAAAAGTTTCTGACCAAGAGAATGGAAATAAGTTATGTTTGGTAACATTAGGACTCTTCTCATTAGCACTGGATTGAGTTGTAGAAGTACCCGACGGGTAGCCTGTACTGGGTATAGTAGAAGGAGATTTTTTTACTTATGAATTTTTTTTATTCGAGCGGGTTTTTATCGATTGTTTCTTTAAGAATTCTGAAATTGTGTGACATTCGACCAGAATGTGAAAAATGCAATCTCTGCAGAATTCGGAATTTTAGCAGTAAGCCTTCCGGATTGGTGGTTTTTAACAACTAAGGGCGTTATTGGAACGTTTAGCCAAACGGTGAAGGCTGGAATATTCTAGTATTTTAAAATTTCAAAAATTCGAATGATGACGTCACATTTCTGAGAAATGCTGAAACGGCCATTTTAACAAGAAACGAGAGAAAAAACACAACAACATTAGTTGCGCTGACGATAACAACAACAATCGTGATTGAAAAACAGCAGCAGATTGCAGAGAACGTTCCGAGTTGCAACTATTGTGCTGCTACAATAGTTGCAAGGCCGTTGCAAACAACGGTGAAGGGTAAGAAACCAGCCTTCCGGATTAGGAAGAAATCAAGAGCAACGGGCTTGATTC